GCTTATCATGTTAGGTGCGGCGTGACAAACCGGACAACATTGTGTCGAAGAAGTGTCCGTGATGTAAACTAAGATTTTTCCATTAATCATTGAAAGGAAAAAACTATAGTTGATAAAAACATACTTATGTCATGAAAGGTAAACTTTAACAGGATATAAATTAAGAATTTCTTTTTTAATTTCTTCCTTAATTTTTAATACCACTTTATTTTTGTTTACATACTCCAGTATAAGTAGTCTACAGAATCTAATACTCTGAGACATTATGTTATTCCTTAAAATAATGTTTAAATCTGATTCTACATGTAGTCAAAAAGGTGATGTTACTGTAACTAATTGATCCGAATCTTGAAGGTTATTTTGATTGGAATTGTAAAAACGTTGATAGTATTTTGAGTGACTTGAAGTTTCGTCCATACCCTGACAACTGATTAATATTTATTCATCAAAGCCTTTATTTTTATCATCAAAATTTTTAAAGTTTTCACCTTCCGTAGCTTCACAATCCTCTTGGATGTGTGATCCATAAGATCCTGTAGTTTAACTTTGGCCTTTGTTTCAGTAACTTCAATGGATGTTTTTAAGCGTGAGCACTCGTTTTTTATTTCAGCAATTACTCGATAAGATAGAAACCTGCATGGTACTTCTTTATGGGTATTTTCATAAACACTTCTTGAAAGATTGTTATGCAAGAAATATGCAAAAGCTTCTTCAGACGTCGTTTTCTCTTGCTATTGTATTTGTTTTGTCTTCTCTGACTTGAATTCTAATAATAATATATTTAAACCCACAATTTACATTTTGAAAAGTATTTACCGAAACCTGAAAACATTGCACAATTTGTATTAAATTGATTTCCTCCATTATCTAAGTTCACAACAATAAACTTACAAAGTAAAAAGAAACTTTTTAACTGCATTTAGAAATTCATGTGGTTTTGATTAATTAGTGGGACATTAAAAATGCACTTTAGAATTATTTTTTTTATAAATTATTTATTTATTTTAAGACCATAAACTCATGAATTTAAAATAAAAAATAACATTCATCCTTTTGATCACGGCTGTTACACTGTCACTAATACTCAATAAATGAATTGCAAATAATTAATTATCTCAAGAAATATACAACTTTTTTATTCTGTAAAAAGTATCATTTATATAACACATAAGAACAGTAGAAAAGTATTATATTAAGTAATTTAAAAAGTTTTTACTCGAATCATACCTATTACTTCAGAAAAAAAATCTTCAAAAAGTTTTTTTTTTTTTTAAATTTTGAACAGAATATTTTCTAAAGTATTATTCTCAATCTCTCAAGATATACAACTTATGATACAATTTTTTTTATTCTATAAAAAGTATTATATAAACAATACTTTAGATAAACAGAAAAATATTATATTGAGTAATTAAAAAATGTTTTACTCGAATCTAAACTATTACTTTCGAAAAAGTAAATTCAATTTTTATTTTTTTTTTATTTTGAACAGCATATTTATTAGCTCAATATTAAATCATTGTGTAAGTTGTTACAGACTCTAACAACTTACTGAAGGATTTACACATTGTGTAAGTTGTTACAGACTCTAACAACTTACTGAAGGATTTACACATTGTGTAAGTTGTTACAGACTGTAACAACTTACACAATAAGAAAATGCTGTGCTTTGATGAGAAAATATACAGTGGCAGGTCACGGTAACTTACAGTGGCGCGCCACTTAAAGAACTTACGTAATGAGGAAATGTTAAATTTACTACGCAAGGGTGTAGCGAGAATTTATGCACCCAGGGCAAAAATGTAAAAAAGCGCCTTTTTTACAATAAAACTAATTGTTAAAAACAAATACCAGATACTCAAATAAAAAATTAGAAACATTTTTCTCACAAATTGTTCACTTAATGCAATTTAATGATAAAAAATTGTTACAGAACAAAATTTTATTACAAACAAGTTGTTTTTGTTGTTTGTTTTGTTTTTCTTTTAGTTATATATTAAATACAAACAATTAGGCGTATTCATTTACGATTTGCCTTCTTTACTCTTTATGGTAAATTTCAAATATATTTTGTGTTTGAATAAACAAGTTTTCTGTTAAAAAAAAGTTTAGAATTGTAAAATTACAAAAAAAGGCGTTAAGAATTTCTTGAAAACAAAACTTACAAAATCTAATTTCGCTTATAAACTGTATGAACAACTAAACATATAATTTTTTTATATAATACGAGACAACATGTTGATAAGTTTGTATTTGAATCCGCTATTTGGCGCGTTACACTATTGTAAAGTTATAGGGAAGTGTTATAGGATTTTGAAAAATGTTGTGTGATGTCTTTAACGATTTAAGTAGCGGATTTCAGCAAACATATTGCAAAGCAAAACACAAGGCATAAAAAATTATGTCAAAAGCTTCCGTAGTTATCACGCGAAACGCATTTGTATATAGCTCATTTTCTAGCTTTTTTATAAAAAGTTTTATTTTACTAGTAAAATATTGATTTTGATTGTTAAAATTATGAAAGTTATTTTACTTGAAAAAATTAATAATCTATTTATTAATATTATTTGGTTATTTAACTGCACATTAAAAAAATAATGAAGACTATGGAAGAAATATATTTTAAGATATAAAAAAATCTTAGGTTAAACGAAAACACGCGCAAAACTTCTGTTCAATTTGATTTTTAAGCTGAGGGCAAGTGACAAAATGCCCTTTGAAACAGCCGTGTGATAACAACACGAAAACAAATTTAATTTGGTCTTACTTATTTTTTTGTACTTTTTGAGATGAATGAAAAAAATTATTTTTATTTGAAGAAGTTTTTATTTGTTTAAAAAAACATCAGTTTTTCAAAATTATTTCGCGCTCAAAATCGCAGATGATCACAGCAGGGGCGGACCCAGGAAATTATTTGGGTACATCTGGTTTTTTGGAAAAATCTTTAACCCCCTCCCTAGGACCGTCCTGAAAGATGGGTGGGGGGGGGGGGTCGGGTGTTTCTCACCCCCTCCCTTTAAAGCTATCTTACAAGCATTTGAGTTAGCACATTGAGCAAGTTTTGAACTATAGTTGGCATATTGGAAATATTGAGGACCTTTATTTTTTTTTTGGTGTCTCTAGTCTTTAGTTGAAAAGCAAAAAAATACATACATCCTACCATGGAAGACCTGATCCGTTAATCTATCAAGATTAACCGAAGTCTATTATTAAAAGAGGTCTACTAACTTAATCTAATAAGAGCCTTTCTTCAATCAAAAATATGCAAGGTTATCACTGGGGCACTTTACTTTTAAATTATAAAATTTTATATTTACACATTATTTACAGATCTATTATTAAAAACTATATTTTCAAAGTACCATTAATAAAATAAATTACATAATGCAAAATTTTATATTTATATTTTAACAAATATATTATAAAACAACACAAATTGTAACAAAATATTTGTATATTAAATATACAATTTTAAATTATATAAAGAGGTATTTAGAGATGCATTCTTAATGACACATTTTGTTTACAAAAAAAAAATTTAAAACATTCATTTTAATAAATCTTGCTGATAAATACATAAAAACTAAAAAAAATTAATTAAAAAAACAAAAGCATTTGCCAATATAACAAATACAACTTAGCATTTTATATATAAAAAATGATAACACCAAATCGGTTTTATTATTGTTTAGCACTATACCAGGGTGCTTAACATATATATTTCAGGCGCCAAAATTATTAATATGTCCACTCACATTCATATGAAGTTAATGGAAAAGTAGCATGTAAATTTTTAATGTTTTTACAACCAGGAAAATTTATTACTTTTAACAACTCAGTAATATTAATATTGAAATACCTTTTTAAATTTAACTAAAAGGCTTCACATAAATGAAGCTCACAAGGTTAAAGCATGGGAAGATACTTGACATATTGCACTTTGTATGAGGTCTATGACTGTTGGAATGAGCATATGCAGCTTTTTCATTTAGATTTAAAATACAAGAGGACAAAACTTTAGTGTGACCATCAATTGCTCTAGCACCACCATATCACAATTTATGGTATATAAAAAGGAATCCGAAATATTTTTTACCAAAAAATAAAATAATCCCTACTAGTAACACCAATTGTGTAATCTAAATTCTCTTATTGAACTTTGAACCAACAAACCATATAATTAAAATTAGTTTTTCTCTACTTTAATTGTCAGAAAATTCATCAGAAAAATGTTTAAAATTTTTAAACTATTTTGTAATTAACTTCTCTGAAACACTTTTTTACCAGATAATATGATGTCTTAGATATGTAAGAAGCGTTTTTTGTTGATAATATCTAAGCTGATCTTGAAAAATTTTATCACCAGCATAAACACGGAAATGTTGCAAACACTTGATTTTTTAAGAAAACTACGTATATTTACGAGAGTCGAGACATTTTAAATATCACAATAAACTTTAAATATTTCAGGGTGAAAGTTGGAAGGTACGTCCGACAGTGTTTTTTTATAAATAAAATTTATAAAAAAGTTGCGTATTAGTAACAAAACCCATTATCAGACATAATGATTGAACCAAGTCACTTTTTTGATTTTTTGCGATGTGATTTCCCACTGCGCAGCGTGAACAAAACAAAAATGTTTGAGCTAAGCGTCTGTTTACAACTTACAACCTGTTCACGTCTGATAATTTTAATCGTTTGCTAAAATTTTAATTTAAATTTACAATTTTTACTTTGCAAGAATTTACTTTTGTGTTCTATTAGAGATATTGTTTGATTTGTTTTCTATGACATCAGGGTTTCCGCTTAAATAAATTATGATACGTTTTATCTTTATTTAAACGTTATTTAATTTCGTCACGCTTTTTTTCAAATTGCATAATCATTTTAAATAATTTAACCGTATTGAACCCCTGGGTCTCTTAATTGAACTTGTTAACTCAACTAAACAGTTTTGTTAAATATTGTATTTAAACACACGCCAGACATTGAAAAAAAATTTTAACAACTGATGTTAAAAAAAAACTAATTAAGTCAATATAACAACTAATTTAAAATTAATTAAATTTAATGGCCTTCCTTTGATTACGAAGAGCTCTTCCGCGTTTCAATATATGCACTTTTTAAAGTTTTATTATCAGATGTTTAGAAAATATCTTCAAGAAAGAGAATTCTGAATGCTTTTAACAGGTATTGCTGAACAGTACGTAACTTAAAGTTTTATTTTAACGAATGAGCAATTTTTAACAAGTATACAGAATGTATCGGGTAGCGATCAATTTATGAGTAGTAAACAAAATATTTGATCAAAGTTAAAAGTTAGAGTGTAAGAAAAATTAAAAATGGAGCACGAAACATGGATATCTTTGCTATGGACAAAACCTATTGCGTCAAGTTTCATTTGTTTGATTCTTTTTACTGCTTTAACAAACATTTACGTAGTATGGAGCATATATAAAAAAAGAAACTTAAGAAATTCGAGTACAGCAATTATTGTAGCAAATTTAGCGTGTGTAGATATTCTGGTAACGCTAAAAGATTTGCCAACCTTTTTTTCTGTAGCTGTTAGTGGACATTGGGTGTTTGAAGAATCTTGGTGTGCGTCTTACGGATTAACAAACGTTATTTTTATAGTTGTTTCTGTTTCTACTCTAGTAACAATAACAACGGATAAATTTTCACGATTAAGGGAAATGGCGATACCCCAAGAGCACCCTTCTTCTCACACACACCACCCTCTTATTCTTGGCTACGTTATAGCTCACACTACTTTGTCATATAGTTTATCTTTGTTGTGGAGTAAATATGTTTTTGTTACAAGAAAATCTTTTTGCCGTGTCGAATGGCCACCAAGAAATGGTCTAAGTGCAACTTTCTTGTCGTCATTTGTTTTTATAGTTCCAGTTTCATTTCTAATCTACAATTTATTGTACACAACTGTTTTAAAAGTAAACGATTGTGAGAAAGTTAAAATTGAAGCCAACCCTTATGAACAAAAAGCGCAACATCAATTGCATATTGCAGTCTCAATTTTTCTACTGTCGTGGACTCCTTACGTTTTGGAAAGTATTATATCAAGCCATTCGCAAATTTCTCCTCTAACGGGTATATTTACAGCGAGCATACCGTTACTGACAACTTCTTTGTTACCATTTCTATATATTCAATTTTTAATAAAAACTTTAGAAAAAACCTCAACTCTTTGTGTTGTTGTTCAATAAAATGTCAACAAAAGTTTTTCAATAAAGTGGCTTTACACTCACAATAAAAATGTCTTCAACGAAGTGGCAAGGTCTCACATCTTATTAATCAATATCGTTTGTTGGTGTGAAAAAGTTTCCGTGTATTTTTAAGTTAATATCTTAAACTAATAAAGATGTTTTTTATACTGTTTTTATCTTCTTTTTTTTTATTAAACAGTAACTGAAGTTTGCAATTCATTCTTTATTTTTGTTGTGCTTTTTTTTAGGTTAATAGACCACAGTTTATGCTTTTAATAAGAATACATTGATACTTAATTATTTTATATATCAACTGCTTTTTTCACAAAATTCTTATGTAAAAACCTGTGAAAATTTTTTAAAATGTGGTGTGTATAAATAAAATTGCGGGAAAAAAAACAAGTAACGTACGTTGAAAAATGAATTTTTAGTTAACTACTTCTATTTAAATCCTACCCAACTAAAATATCTCATCCTAATTTTCAGGTGAAACTAGAAAATAGGCTGCACGGTTACAAAGTTAGGTCTTACAACCGTAAAGATCAATATCAAGAGAAAAATAGTAAATATATATTATTTTTCTTAAACTGGACACCAAATCATTTGAAGTATAATAGAGCGGGGCTAGTTGAGCATAGGGGCAATTTATGCAAATAAATATCTCTACGCATCGAATGACAAAAAATTTAATGGATTAAAAATAGGAAGTTAGAATGGTAACACAATGTGCAACAAAAGTTATTGGATTGTGGTCAAGTATGATGCAAAGGCAATTTTTATATTTTGGACAAAAAAAATTTATTGGTATTTTTTTCTAAGATGCTTTATAAGTTTTTTATCTGCAACCGATTTAGTGTAGGTGTTTTACTAAATTTTCGGACTTTCGGATATAATTTTTTTCATAAATTTTACTGTTTTTATTTAAACCTAACTAATGTGTCACGTTGTCTAGAGGTAAGTTAAGCAGCTTTAAAAAAAGTAAATAAAACTAAACTATTAAACACAAAGAAAAAACTTTATTAGTAAATACAACTTCATTTATCTGGCTACTTTACCATTATTTACTGCTCTTACTACCATTGTAGTGACTGCTTTCATTACCATCATGCTCTTGGTTGATCTTCTTTTGATCCAATTTTATAGAAAACTTTTTTCTGAATTGCTTTGCTTTATATTTGAATTCTTGGCTTCAAAAGATCTTACCTGCCAAGATTTAATTTTAATTATGCAAAACTTTTAATTATGTAATTTACAGCAAAAAAGCTCATCCATAAGTGCAAACTTGAAAGATTTACTGAAGACCAAGTTTTTTAAAAAGGTTTCATAAGTGGCATGCTTTTTTAAAAAGGTTTCATAAGTGGCATGCTTTTTTAAAAAGGTTTTATAAGTGGCATGCTTTTTAAAAAGGTTTCATACACAAAATATATTATAATAGTATAAAAAATGCTATACAACTAACTATAACAGCTTTTAAATAATGGAGGATAGGAGAGGGTTGAGAACGGCGCGTAGTTTTTTGACTATAACAGCCGTTAAATAAAAGACTTTGTAAACATAAATAGTTATTATCGTTTGGTATTAAAAGTTTAAAATCTTTATATGCAGAATCGGTCTTGAGATAAGAAATTTAAATCGTCATTCTATTTATAGCATAGTAATACGTGCGTCCGTTTTTAGTAAATTATCGAAAGTTTTTTATTTTGACGATCTCTGAACATGTTGTTGTAGAATCTTATGGGCTCTTCAAATCTAATATAATCAGTTGAATTTGATATTTTAAACATTTCTATTAAATCACCTCTTATTCTCTTTTCTTGTAACGTAGATAAACATAATATTTTTCTCCTTTTTTGGCGTCAAACGCCTCTCTGTATATTAATCCTAGTTGATCTGAGCTGTACTTTTTCCGCTTTACTTATATCTTTAATTCAGTAAGGGCTCCATATTGTTGCAATATTTTGAAGTTGTGACCAAACAGTTTTTACATTGATTTTTAGTAATTTCAAGTTATTAAATTTTTGTCATGTCTATTTGTTATCTTAGGTGATTAAAAAATATGCAGTAGTGGTGTGGTGGTAGAGTGCTCGCTTCATAAGAGAAGTTTTGAGTTTGTCCGTGGTAGTACTACTTAACTTGTTTCTCCGCTCAACGGCCTTGTTTTTTAAGGTTCATGTTTTGGAGTTAATGAATTGAGAGAGGCTTGTGACCACAATTAGCTTCTTCGCCTCTAGTGGTCCTCTCGGCCTTAGGGAGTTGAACAACAAGAAAAAATAAAAAAATAAAAAATAGTTCACTTCCACAACAGGTTTATAAAGGCACATCAAAATAATGAAAATGCATGTTTTGTGAAAGTCTAGGTCCGAAAAATCATTACTCGGCATAACCGGTAGCTTACCCAGTAAACCTAACGTTTTTGAGATATTTTTACTTGCTCTTCCTTCACTATTGACAATATTTTAAATTTAACGAAATGAAGGAAGGAGATAAGGTTGACACTTACATAATTTAAATTCAAAATAATATTTATATAAAAGGATTTTGTATACTATTAATTTAATTAGTCTATCAAAGTTGCCCCACAAATGGGGTAACTTTAAATACGTTTGCTGAATTAGCAAAACCTATTAAAAAATGCATTGTTTTGTTATAAAATTTATTAAAAAAATAGTCTAGTTTCATGTTTTTAATATAAAACTAGACTGTTTTTATATTATTTTAGCAATAATTTATTATTGATAAATTTATATAATATTATTTCAGAACAAATACCTATGTTTTAAAAGGACTAGCATAAAACGAGTCTCATTCACATCAGTTTCACTTACAGACAATCCAAGTGGAACATCTTTACATTTTGTCAAAAAATCCTCAAAAGGAACACTTTTTTTAAAACCAAAAGTAATTTTTTTTCTCTTTGAGTCTCCTTTTTTCATGATATCAAAATGACACAATTGTTAAAGTACATTAACTACTGCTTGGCAACTACTGTTTTAATGTCTTTATCACCATCTGGCAAACAATTGCAATTTGACAAAAAACAATAACAAACCAGTCAAAAAAGCGAATAGAATCAAACCGTCCTGACTTTGATTGTACTGCACATTAAGTGGTCCACTTTCAGTTCTTGTTTTCCATAAATGGTGTACTTTAAAAACATAACCAGAGACAATATGACCAGAGGCACTAAGCATGAATGACGTAACATAAATGACGTAACATGTTGTACAATTGCTAGTTTTTGCATATTTGTAAAAAACATGGATTTTCATTGTGTTTTCAGATTAAGTTTTTAAATATTATTAAACAAAATGGCAACTTGCATCCAGTGAACAACTGATAATATTTTGCAAGGTAAATCACTATTGTTACCATAACATTTGAACAGTGGCATTCAGTATAATTTATTTAGTGCCTTGTAAAAGTTGTTTTTTTTTTGTATAAACGTGGAACAGTAATGCTATGAAATGCTAAACAAAAGCAAATTAAAAATGAATAATATTATTTTCAACAAATTTAATTCAACAAAATACTGAACATACACACACATATTATATGATACATTTATAATATAAGATTTAAAATTTATTAGAGTTCTGCAAAAAAAAGTATATACACACTGACACATAGTTCCTAGAGGGAGACAACCGGGGCATGCTGCCCCGCGTGCTGCGGTAATTTTTTTTTTTTTTTTTTATAGCGGACTTCGTGACTTTATAAAATATCATTTTTATTAAAAACCTAAGGCGCCCAACATTTTCAGTCATTAACCTTTGATGGATATTTCAGGTTGTGTACTTACGCAAAATCCTAATGTTCCGAGAAGAAGTTTAATTTTTACTTTTTAGTTCATTTCAATGTTGCTTTTTAAAAGTTTTTACTAGAATCTCAGGAAGCAGGATGGAAAATTACATGCAGGAAATTACATGCAGGATGTTCTAAAGAACATCCTGCATGTAATTTAAAGCCTATAATAGTTGAAACAGTTTTACAATTAGAATAGATTTTTTGAAAAGAGGTGGTACTTGCAGATAATACCTTTACTGAAGAACAATAAAGAATCTTAAAACCAAAAAACCTTATTTCTCAAATGAATTTCGATACAGGGTAGCAAGAAATGATGAACAAGTAAGAGGAAATGGCTTATACATTCTCCGAAAACTAATTCAGCTTATTGTCTTCCTTGTCATCAGTTTGACCCAACTCCAAAATCATATTTTGGGAAAAAACAAGGTTTCAACAACTGAAAAAATTTCACAGAGCAAGCATAAAAGAGATATCTCCATCTTATTTTAGTTGTTCTGATAAATGGATCGAAGCAATAATCAGGATAAAAAATGAACAAGCTTTCAATCAATGTCTTATCTAACAAATTAACAATGAAACAGAACGGTGGAGAAGTATTTTTAGTAAAATAGTGTCAGTGGTTATGTACTAAGCGGACATAATATTGCATTTTGTGGAAGGTCATCAAAGCAGTATATCAAAAATAATGGGAACTTATTAGGTCTTATCCAGTTACTTGGCAACTAATTTTGTCCTGGGCGCCACTAACCCTAGGTACGGCCCTGCAGACACACACAAATGTGTGTGTGTGTGTGTGTGTGTGTGTGTGTGTGTGTGTGTGTATGTTTGACTTACTCTTTATACACATGATATATTAACTTTTAATCATAATAATATTATATATAATACATATATGATAAGGTAATTTTTAAATTGTACAAGTTTGTTTAAAAAAAATTTATGTAGAGGGGTTACTTTGAACGTTTTTCAAAGTTACTCCGTATGCAAAAAAATGTACACAACAAAGTATGTTATGCAATAGCAAAGGAACATAACTAGAGTAGGCTAACAAACTTCTTTAGATTTTACATGCTGAAAAAAATTTTTAAGCAAAAATAATGTAACTTAGACAACAAGCTGCAACACTAGCTATGGCAGTGTACAAAGTATTTGCACTAATTTTTTTTAGAAAAATATCCAAAATATTTTTCTAAACTTATTTTTTAAAGAACAATAGCAACCAATAAAGAATGTAAAACTTTAAATAATCAAAATATAAACAATTTTTAATACTTTGATGTTTAAGGTTTAAACAGTTTCATATAAATTCTTGTTTGAAAATTCATAATTACAACTTGAAAAATAGGGTTATCCCGCTTTTCAAGTTAACTTTGGTTTATGGGGTTACTGTTACCTAAAAATTATTACCCGAAATACCTGGTACACGGCATGACTCAGCTGGATGGATATTTTTTATGTATGAATTTTTAATTTTGAGCTGTTACAAAGGTAAATCCTAAAAAAAAAATAACATGTAATTTATGCTTACAATAATTTTTTAAAACAAGAAGCTGATTTACTGGGGTAGCCTAGTTACGGCTCTGTGTTTATGGTTCCAAGAAAGTTTTACGTTTATATTTGCTCCTTGAGGACTTGACAGTTATGTCACAGCACCGCAAGAGAACATTTAACGAAGACATTCGTGGCTGCTCATAATATCTGTTCATAAATAATAAAATATAATACTAGTGTATCTTGTCGCATTCTAATAGTGTTGGCTTAAGATCAAATAACAATGTAAATAGTTTAGTTTATTTCAGAAGTCATTTAAATAATTTTAAATGTTTACAACTATCCGCAAGAATTTTTCAAGTTTTGAAAAATAAAAAAACATTGTTTTCTACTTTTTGTTCAAAAATTATCAACGAAGATGTACTGCATTAGGCATTTCTTTTCTGAGAGTCATCGATACTCTTTCACATCTATCACACAAGTAGCATACGTAAAAATATATTATAAAACATAATGCTTTTATGCTTCCTTTTTACCGAACTAAATCTTATCCAGACAGTTTTTAAAAATGTTAACCAAGGTCTGGTCGATTACTGTATGTGTATAGCAATTCTTAAAGCTTTAATGTAAAAAAACTCCGTAGTGTTTATCAGTTGTTACGTTACGGAAATAACCAGTTTTCAATAAAATACGGTCTTTTACCTTTACTTTTAAGAAATAAATGCATTAGTCCGATCAAAGTAGACAATTCAGTTCGCATAGAGCTGAAATTTGGTAAAGACCGTTGGAGCATTTTTATAAAAAAAATATTAAAAGTTACCACCAATCCTACATCTACATCTGCAAAAAAAGTTATTCAAGGTCAAAGGTTGAAAAAAATGGTTTTTTAAATTTTTCCGGTAAACGGTAAGTTTTACCATTAACAAAAAAATAGATCAAGCAAAAATTTTACATCATAAACTGTCTTAATGTTTTTGTTTTATTCCTGAGATTATACAAATCTTAAAATTGAAGAAGTATTATTCAACATAATCTGTATATTATGTTTTAAATATTATATTAGTATTATTTTATATACTATTATATATATTAGTATAACTGATCCAACTCTAATCTCTGAACCATTTAACACTTTTTTTTACAAATGTTGCTCATAAACTCAAATCCAATATTCATTCGTCTTACATTAACTATCAAAAGTATCTTAAACATCCAAACTTATAAAGTTTATTATTATCTCCAGCAAATATTCCTAAAACTTCATCACTTATATCTAAATTGAATCCAAAAAAATTATAAGGTCCAAACAGCATTTCCACAAATATTCTTATAGATTTTAACTATAAATTTTCAAATATTCTTTCTAAACTATTTAACACCTCATTTATAAATGGAACATTTCCTGATATTTTGAAATAATCTCGCGTTATTCCAATATTTAAAAACGGTTTTAACCTTTCATGCACTAACTACAGACCTATTTTTCTTTTATCTAACATTAATAAGCTTCTTGAGAAACTTATGTATTCTATAGTGCACTCTTTCTAAACTCATTTAACTGTTTAAATATTTTCAATTTGGTTTTCGATCAAAAGATCCTACTTGCCATGCATTAATAAGTATTAACGGAAAAAATTAGGAAAGCTCTTGATACTGGTCATTTCAATTGTAGTGTTTTTATTGATTTACAAAAAGCTTTCGATACTGTTGACCATAGTATTTTGGCTTTAAAATTAAATCATAATGGAATTTGCGGTATTACAAATGACTGGTTTTGATCTTATCTTTCAGATTGAAAACAATTTGTAAGTATTAACGGTTTCAAATATAGTAATAAATCAGTTTTGAGTGGTATTCCTCAAGGTTCTGCTCTAGGTCCTTCTTTAATTTTAATCTACGTTAACGACCTAATCAACTCTGTTCACTTCTCTTCATTTCATCTGTTTGCTGATGATACAAATCTCTTGCACATCAACAAATCGTTTCATTCTTTATGTAAAAATGTTAATTGTTGAAAATAAAAATGTTTAATGTAAAAATGTTAGTATAGCTCAGTGGTTAAATGCTAACCTAATATGTCTCAACACCGAAAAAACTGAACTAATTTTCCGATCTCCGAGAAAAAACTATTTCTTAAAAAATGTTGAAATCAAAATCAAAAATAATAATAAATGGCTATATCTCGAGCTAACGGCATGCTTTCGATAATTCGTCATTACGTCGATAAACTTACACTTCAGAATATTTACTATGCGTTATTCTCATCTCATCTTAAATATTGTTGTCAGGTCTGGGTTCAAGTTGGAAACTATCACATTAACAAGTTGCTATTGTCTCAGCTTCAATCCACTAGAATAATAAACTTTCAACCAACTAAATCAAATACATCGAAGTCCTTCAAAAAACTTTTCATTCCAACATTTCCAGCGCTAGTAAAGTATGCTAATCTTCTTTTTGTATTTGACTCCTTAAATAAAAACTTACCATCTCCTTTCACAAGCATGTTTACAGAAAGTAGACAATTAAATTCCTACTAAAAATATACACAATGGAAAACTAAATGTACCATCTTTTAAAACTCAGAAGTATGGTAAAAATTCTGTTGTTTATCAGTGCATCTGCGAATGGAACCGGAGCCTTGTATGCATTTTGAATAAGTCCAAAAAACTATATTCTAAAATATCTTAAATCCATCTTAAACAATATAAATTTAAAAAAATTCTGAAAAATCTTTGTTCTAATTTTTAGACATATTATCTTTACGATTAAAATATTCTTTTAATTTTTTTTTCGTCATTACTACAATTATCATTAGTAATTTTTCTTTATTATTTTTTTTTTATTATTAAAACCTACAATTTATGATTTCTGCATGTTTGTTTTAATGTATGTTCTATGTGCTTTAATCTATGTTTACGGTCCATATGTCTCAATGTATGTCTTTGCTTAATATTACTTATATTATGTTTTTAAATTGGTGTCACTCCTTTGATCAGATTTCTATAAGAGTGACACCATCCTAAATAAATCATTACTATTACTATAATTTGTATTAATTTTTTTAATCTAATATTATCAGGGGCGGATTAAGCATTTTTTGGTCTTTGAGCTAACTTCCGGACATGGAGCAAACTTCAAACTTTTATTGGTTTATACTTATGTCAAATAAGGATGCTTTGCAAAAAATTGCGATGATTGGAGGTTGGGAACAAAAAAGCCCCAATATTTGCACCCCCTGCCCCAAATGTGAGAGCAACAAGTTGATGAAATACTTTTTATACAATTTTTAACTAGACTTATATTCATTAATAAATTTTAAATTTTATAGTAAAATAATGTAGCGTTCAAAAATTATGACCATATAAAATTTACAACCCCCTCAAATTGAGGGGGTTAAAACTTTATATGGTCATAATTTTTGAACAATAAATTATTTTACTATGAAATTTAAAATTTTTTGATGAATATAAGTCTAAATGAAAATAGTATAAAAATTATTTCATCAACTTGTTGCTTTCACGTTTGGGGCAGGGGGACGCAAGTTTAGGGGCTTTTTTGTTCCTAACCTTCAATCATCGCAATTTTTTGCAAAGCATCCTTATTTGATATAAGTATAAACATATAAAAGTTTGAAGTTTGCTCCATGTCCGGAAGTTAGCTATCTCAAAGACCAAAAAATGCCTAATCCGCCCCTAAACATTATTATAGTATATTATTATTTTACTTTTTAATTGTTATTATTATTATTATCAAAACTATTGTAACAATGATTTACAGAAAATAAATAGCTTGCTTTTGTTGCTGTTGTTGTTGTTGTTGTTGTTGTTGTTGTTGTTGTTGTTGTTTTTGTTGTTGTTGTTGTTGTTGTTGTTGTTGTTGTTGTTGTTGTTGTTGTTGTTGTTGTTATGTACCTCAATCGGGCGTAATTTGGGTACACTAGCAGGATTTATGTCTCTCGGTACATATTCGATATTTTCGCCTCTTAGGTAATTTTATACTTTGTTTGAATAGTGTGCGGAGGCTAGATCAGATCAGAACAAAGTTTTGTTGTTTTTATGAACCTTGTTGATGAAATTCTTTAATTTAACCAGGCATTTGAAAATGTACACATCTTTTTGTATAACGTATATTTTTTAATTTTAGGACTATTTTTTCTGTTGACTAATAACTTTGACGTCATGGGCCCCAAATGTAAAAAATTTTTTGGCACCCATTTTTTTCTTCTTAGTTTTAACATAAAAAACAAGTTAAAAGCAAAAACTTGCTTTACGCTTGTGCATACAGGCGTGAAGCAACTTTTCAACTTGGCCTTGGCCTCGTCCTTGCTACTTTTGGCCGTTAACAACCCTGCTTCATGCCTATGAAAAAGCATTGTTATCTAAAAAGGGTTTTTGGAAACAGATAACGTAACTTTAAATGAGGTGTTTAACTTTTTATAAAACGATAACAGCCCTTGCTTTTTGTACAAATACTCTTTCAAGTTTTTTTATTTTATTTTATAGATGGTTTGAAAATAGTGATTTTTTTTTTTAAATCTATTTTTTTTTTCGTTTTTTTTTGAGATTATTGAGGTCACCGAAAATAACTTTTCATATAAAATCGAGACAAATTTCGTGTAAATTTCAGCTTGTCGCATGAGCCTATTTCTTTATGAATTTAGGCCATTAGTCAGTAAGTTAAAAAATATAAGTTTATTATAAATTGTATCCGAATTTATCTAAGCAATCTTGTTTCGATATTTTTTAAAAAATTTTTTTAAACCTTGATTATATTGTTCTCATCTAACGATTTGATAAATTATTTAGTTTTCTAGTCAAAGAAAATGAAGACCGTTTTGGCTAGTGAGACGATTGTTATTCCAGATGGAGGTCAGCTACAAATATATCCTAATAACTTTGTTTTTGTATGTTCATATGCTGCTTATGATTTGGTTTAAAAAGTTTTCGGTTGTTAGCAATAAGTTAAAATGTACAAAATGATTATATCCTCAACTTAGTATCTAGTTTAAAGCCATAAGTTAACGATTATAATCACAACTGAAAGAATAATGGTTTGTTTTCTAAATTGCATTCGCTTTTCAATTAATCAAAGATATAGCTGAATATTTAAAAACCAAACAAACTATTATTGTAAAAGAGGTCATTTTACTGGTCAAATATACTTAAATACGTTGATTATTCATTTAATCACTAGTATTTAATCAAGTAATGATCAATTGTGAGATGCATCTTTCATAATTTACAGTAAATATTTGTTAAGAAGGTAAATGCAATGCCTCAAGCCACAACCTTTAGGCTGCTTAGAATTAACTTTGTCTTGCAAAATTTTTTATTATTTCAACTGTTGTAATGGATGGGATATCCACTATTTCTTATTATACTACATGTAATGTTATAACTAGTAAACACGCTTATGGTCGAAAACTCTTTCTTAGTTTATATTAAATATATTCCTTGTATACATTGTAAATATTTCTAGGGCTTATATATACCCTTCTTGTGCGACCTAATATTAAAAAAAAACCATTGAAAAAGCAAACAAACTATATAAAAATTAATATTATTATTATTTTTTTATATAAATTTATTTTTAACAGTTACTTACATAAATTTATTTATTTGATTAGGAATAAAATTAACAAAGTTTAATAATTTAAATTTGTCAGATAATAAAATTTATACAAGCATCAGAATAAGCAGATGCTTTTATTAAACTTTATTATTTGACAGAACTTTTCCTAAATGCTAATATTTAAAAATTAAATTTTAATTTGTGTTTTTTATTTCTACTTCCAGTCACTCTGGAGATGAATGGTCGATCTATCACAGTTAAAGGGCGCCGTGGTACTTTGCACAGAAATTTTAATCATCTTAACCTTGAGTTGACTTTTATCAACAAGAAAACAATTCGTGTTGATGTTTGGTTTGCTTTAAGAAAGCAATTGGCTTGTTTGAGAACTATCTGCAGTCATATCAATAACATGATCAAAGGAGTACAGTATGTAAGTAATTATACTATTAAGTTATCCTGTGTGGAAATTATTTTTATGGTTAGCTGAATTTATCATTTGAATTCTGCAGCTATAATATAAATTTATTTCTTAGCTTTGTACATTTTTGTCAGGGTTAAGATTTTTTTAATGTTATGAAACATTTTAATGTTTAAAAATTGTTTTTTATAATAGTATTTAAAGTTAAATTACTTTCAGAAATGTTGATTATTTAACTATTTTTAGTTAAAGTGTTTTCAATTCCGCTTTACCGCCAAAGAGTTAATTCAACCTAATAAAATAAATGATTTTATGCTGCTTAACTGCAGAATAACTGATATTATCAATTATATCATAAGAACATAAATTGCTTTGACTTTTAACTTGAGTTTTTCTAATTTATTAGTATGCAATGCTAATTATGTTTTGGTGTTGTGAATCCTATTTTATTTATCTAGATTTTTTACCTAAAAGTTAAATATAATTTTATTATTGTTTTTTTGTTTTTAAAATATTTTTTGATCAAGAGTATATTTTATATTGGGAAAGTGAAAATCTAAACTAAACATTCAACACAGTAAAAAAAAAGCACAGCTTTTTTTGTCATTTAAGATGTGTTTGCTTTATGTCTGAGAAGTAAATTTAGGTGTGTGTATATCTACATTGAATGCATGCTTTACAAAAAATTGATTCCAGCCAAAAGCTTGACAAAATAAATTTATACCACAACCCTTGATGTAAGAGGAATAAGTTAATTTTTTTTTCTTTATACTCTTGGTTGCCTTTTTATTTCTTTGAAATTTGGTGTTACGCCTTACAGCTTAATATCAGTGTCACGTTTGGTATTACATATAATGTTAGTTATAGTTTTATACAATTCATAAAATCCGGGGTGTTATAAAAATGTGTAGAAAAAGACGTTCAAGCATCTTCTCGTAGATTTGATTGAGTAGCTACAGTGCGCCTTGCTTGAAAAATGTTTGCAGGCATTTATAAAACTGTGAATTTCAATAAGATCTTCTTTGTTCACATCTCTCTGATTAAATCTTGCAAGTTTGCAAGCTTTGTTTTGAACGGAAAGATTATTATCCAACTAGATAAATAAAAGTATATTGCCAACAATCTTGTTTTGCCATAAATCTTGAATCAATCTGCTGGATCTGACTATTTAAACCAAGATTTAAAATGTTCTCTTCAAATTCTTTTGTAGAAATACTCTGGTCTTTAAACTTCGTTTAATAATTTTATGTGAAACAGTCTGGTTTTAAAGTATAATAATGTAAGTATCAAAAGTATATACATAGGTATCAAAAGTTATTAAATTAGGGCTCAATTTACAACTAAAACCTCAGATTCTCTGCTCAATTTACAAACTTATCAGACATTTTGACCGACGGGAATTAAATTCTGCAAAATAAAGTTTGAATGTAAATGATTTTTCTTTGTTTGCAAATTGTACGAGTGTTTAAATATTTTTATGCTTTAAACGTTTCAGAAATGTGCTGGAAAAAAAAAGGTAAACATAAACTAGAAAAAAAATATATATATATATATATATATATCTTAAAAATAAAACTAAAAAGACTTAAGGTTAAAATTACATTATGTTTTTAATTGCATTTTAAAAAAATTACTATAAAACTCATCTTTTAAAACATTTAATAAAAGTTACACAAAGCGCTTTTACAAATTACTTCTATTGATTGTTTAATAAATAAACAAATTCATTATTAAAAAGAAAAAAATATATTTTTAATTTGTATAAACATTTTTTCAAAAAGTTTCAAAAAAAATAATAGTAATAAAAATCACATTGTCTTTTTAATACAGTAATTCTTAATCATTTCATGATTTAATTAGTAAGTCGATTTTAAAAAACAACTTTTAAACAATTCTTTGTAAAAGTAGAAACAAAAAAAATAAAGCAATTAAATCATGGGAAAATTTAATTTAACTTATTCATAATTTAAAGTAACTTAATAGAATAACCTTTAAAAAATTTTTTTAGAATGACATGAAAAAGTTTAATTTCAAACCTTAAAATTGATCATAGAAAATACATACCTAATAAAAAAAATATATAAGTATAACATTTAGTTTACGCGTGCGTTTATTTTTAAACAATTGTTATATTTAATGTTTGATTTGATTTTGATTGCTGGTATGCCAAGAAAATTATTTTAAAAAACCCTATATTCTATTATGTTTTAAAATAGTGATTATATAAGTTTTTTATTTCTTAATCAGGGTTTTCGATACAAAATGCGATCAGTTTATGCTCATTTTCCCATTAATCTAAATATAATGGAAGAAGGGCGTGTAGTAGAGATTAGAAACTATCTTGGTGAAAAATACAATCGAATTGTAAAGATGAAACCTGGTGTGATCTGCATGTTATCAGGAACTAAAGATGAAATTATTATTGACGGAAATGATATTGAGTTGGTCTCAAATTCTGGTGAGTTAAAATTTTTTTAAGCAATTAGTTTTTTTAAAAAATTATGTATAGAGTATGTAATCTTTAGACTTGTTAAGACTAAGTGTTTGTTTAATGAATTTTGACTTTTTTTTAAGTTAGCTTTGTATTTCAAAAATTAGTTGTTTATGGTAAAAGATTTTGATATTTATTTCAAATGTTAAAACTTACAATTTTAGCAATAACTTATAAGAAATATATAATAATAATAAATAAACAGATGCGGAAAAAGTAACAAAATTTTGTACTCACGTGAAAGTACTGTTACTTGAGTTGAATTTTAATCAAGTACAAGTAGGTGTTTATTAGTCGAAAAGTTTACTTAAGTAAAAAAAGTAAAAAGTAGCTCGTTAGAAATGTGCTAAGATCTATAAACATTACCACGTTTCTTTTTTAATAGTATTTTTTAATTTTCTTTTAAAACTTTAAACTTGCACATGTATAATGTCATTCATAAATTACATTTCTTATTTTTTGACTTTAAATACAATAATATTTTGAATTTAAAAGCAAATAATAAAAAGTAATTTCGTGTCACAAAATTGATTACCCTCCCCCCTTATAGCAAATTGTCACAAAATTGCTAACCCTTCCCCTCAGCTATCTATCCTGATGACCTCGAACTTTATTTAAACAGTGAAAACTATAAGAAATAAAGTTATAAAAAAGACGCTATTTTATTTATCAAATAAAAGTATTAAATCTATACTTATTTAATTATAATTATTAAATCTATAAAATATATACTTAAAAGTACATATTTTAAAAAAATCTAAGCTAGAGCTTATATACTAAAAAACATAGCTTTTATATACTAAAGGTAAGCAATTTTTAATAGTTTAGTTTGTTAGACTTCAAATGATTTAAGATTTGTAATTCAGATTTTTAAAAATAAATTTAATTTTTACTTTTTTTATTTATTTAGCTGCCTTAATTAATCAAGCAGTACGTGCCAAGAACAAAGATATCAGAAAATTTTTAGACGGTATTTATGTGTCAGAAAAATCAACTGTTGATCCAATAGCAGATTAAGAATCATCGTACTTATCTTTGTTTTTTGTTTTAGTTGTTTTTCAAAATTGCAATATATAATCCCCATGCGCTTTATATCTTAGCGCTATGGAAATCTAAAAGTAACTAATTGATATTGATTTTTAGTTATCTAACAAAATTAACATGGGGTAAATCGACGCTATCATGTTAATTGATATTTTTAGAGTAGCTTTCCGTAAGATTCAACTAATTGAGTCGTTTTCTGTACAATTCAGCTAAATGTGTTAACTACGAAGCAAAGTATAATTGTATTTTGGTGCAACTAATCACAGGTGGAAAAAGTAAAAAAAAATTGTACTCAAGTAAAAGTACTGTTACTTAAGTGAAATTTTACTCAAGTACAAGTAAAAGTTACCGGTCGATAAGTTTACTCAAGTAAAAGTAAAAAGTAGTTTATTAAAAATGTACTCAGTAAAAGTTACTGCGTTACTTGTTCAGTAAATTTCTGTGCATAAAATTGTTTCTTGCACATTAAGTTTTTTTTTACAGTCGTGAAAAGAAACAAATAACAGTACTTAGATAAAAGTAAAAGTACACATTTAAAAAAATACTCAAAAAGTAGAAATTCAAAATAACTACTCAATTACAGTAACGCGAGTAAATGTAATTCGTTACTTTCCACCTCTGCGACTAATATGACCCTTTTTTCTTTGTACCTTACATGATAATATATATAAAAATTCAAAAAAATTGCAAGTTTTTATGTTTGTAAAACTATTCGGTTTTAGGCCGAGTGAACTGGCTTTTCGAAAAACTCTGGCTTTCTGAAAATCAGAAATAAAATCGCTTTTATTCAGTAATTGGTCAAAATCACATAAAAACTTCAGCAATTTTGTTTAAACTTTAATTCACGTAAAGCTAAATAATTACTCCAACAACGCTGTGTCAAAGAAATTGCTTATTCTTTTCAGTCAGCTTTTTGTTTAACTAATTTGACTAATCTTTTTTAGCAATGTTGCATAGACCATGTGTTCCATGACGTAAGAACTTGTCATTAGAATTAATCAATTAGCCGAGTCTGTTTTGCATTGATGGTAAATGGCAGCGCGTATATCGACGTTCTATGTCCGGCAACAACGTCCTTTTTAGGTGTTCGACTTAGTCACTTTATTTTCCTAGGTCAAAACTTTTTTCCAAAGAGCAAATCCAGGTTTCGCGTTTTTATTAAAATCCTGACCCGAATAAGTGATGAAATATCAAATTCGTTTTTAATAGTAATAAGTTATAACAAATTTTGCTATAGTATATCAAAAATAATATTTTAATATACATAATTATCTATCGCAAGTTATTATAAAAATATGAAAAGGTTTAGATTTAAATAATTCAGGTCTTAATTTAACAAAAAACGCGAATCTTGGATTTGCTTATTGGAAAAAAGTATCGACCATTTTCTTATTCTATGTTGTTATGCAAAAAATTTCAAATTTCCTAAACCCCTAGGGGTTTGAATACTTTATATTAAGTACATTTTTAGGAAAATATTTTTATAAAAGTTAGCACCGCCTCACCTATAGCCACAGTCCACAATAATCAGTTACATTTATAACTTTCAAAATGGCAATATCAACAGGATTAAATACTAAAATCTTTTTATCAGGACAAACCCCCGAAATTGATTGCAGAATTCTGCCTACAAAAGGCGGCGTTATAAGATATTTTTATCACAGCTGCTAATTCTTTAATTTCATTAAAAATAAAAATAAACGAAATAATGTCTTGCCCTTAAGATATAATTCACACGAGATGCTATGTAATGATAAAATATGTCAGCCCAAATGTGTTGTTTCTGCAATTAGAAAACCGTGGTGATATTCCTCACATTAGTTGCAGATTTAACTTGGTAACCATTGATTTAAATTATGTTCCTAATATATTAAATATATTAGGCAAATAAAAGTTCACTAAATTATTTAGGAAAAATGTTTCCAAATAAATATTTTGATGCAAGAAACTGGTATCATATCGTTCAAAAATAAATAAGAGACAAAAGCTATATGAAAAATTTTTTTTGGCATTAAAAGAGGAACTGTTTGACATTGGCCACCCAATACTTTATGAAATAATTGAAAAAGATAGAATATGATCAAAAAACGCAAAAGACAAAAAACTTAAAAAAGTTTATTCTACACAGAATTTTGCAAAAGTAGGAAGAAAAGTAGTAAAAAAGAAAAGTAGTAAAAAAGAAAAGTAGTAAAAAAGAAAAGTAGTAAAAAAAAGTAAAAGCCAAGGAGAGTAAAAAGAGGAATCTTCTACAAAAAACTTGAAGTTAAAACAATTTTCAACAAATAGCAATTGCATTAATGAAAATGAAGAGTTTTTTTATTAGATAGTTTTGATAATAAAGAATTTCAAATTAACAATTATAAACACAATCAAAATCAATCAACTAACATAAAATGAAATATAGTGACAGTAACAGTGGCATATTAATGGAAAACGTCAACATTTTATGGGCGTTTTGGAATTTCTGTTCGAATACAGACAAGATTACTAGCATTATTTAAAATGAAGAAATATCAAACTTAATGAATTTAAAAGATAAAAGTTGAAAAAATAAGAAAAAATTTATATGTAAGTGAATCAGAAATTGTTAAGGCAAAAATTAAATAAAAATGTAAAAATAATAATTTATTTTTGCACATTGATGCAAAAAAGTTTCGGCTTTAAATGAAGACTATATTTCTTTAGTAAATGAACGTCTAGCTATTGTTGTTACAAGTCCAGGCTGGGATATAAATACAAATCAAAAGCAACAGGATGAGTTGCTAGGCATAGTTGAATGTCAATCAGGAAAATAATAAGATTAAGCATTGGCATATTTTAATGGTATAAAAAAGTTCGGGATTAAAGATTTATAAATAGAATTTGTGCTGACACAACAGCACGTAACACAGGTTGTAATAAGGTCTGCATAAGTATTTTAGAAAAACTTTTACATTGACCTCTGTTGTTATGTTATATGTTAAGACTTCTTTGTCAAAAACGATACACTTTACATGCAATAAATGCACTAAAACAGAAAGCAAAGGTCCATCAAAGTCTAACTATACGAGATTCAAAGCTGCTTGGCCAATGCATTATGAAGATGTCCAAAAAATATGAATCAGTTATCAAAGTTTTTTCTATTGTAATGTTTGTGGAACTCCATTAAAAGATATGGCTAAAAAAAAATATATAATTTTGCAAAAAGCTATGGAACTTCATACTTTCCCCAGAAATGATTATAAACATTTGTGTTAATGTGTCATTGTTTGGAAGGGTGAGAGGCAGTTTCTGGATTTGTTATACAAAAACCAGCTGCTGAAAATGAAGCTATATTTATGGCAGACGCTTTATAAAATTTGCCAATAAAGCTTACATAAATTTTAATCATAAATTTTTTATCCCTAAAGAAAGAAGCAATATTTTCAAATGCCGCAAAAAATATTCTTCAATCAAGTCATATTGTTTCTGCTGCTTGTAATTATTAGTGAATGGTTAAAGAGATGATAAAGATCGATGATTGTGATGTTGATGTTCCTCATGCTTTCATTTCAAGCTATCTTAGACACAGTTATTATCTTTCTGAAAAAACCCAAAAAAAAACTTAATAGATTGTAAAAAAAGTTTAACTTTTTATAAGAAACATTTAACTGACTTTTATTATGTATTATAAAACATGTTCGTAAAACCTTTAAAAAAAAGTCTTTAACATTTGGAATAGTTTATCTTTATTTTTTTTTTAAGTTTAATAAGTACAATATTTGGATTCCTTTTTTAACCAACTTGTTAAATGCAAATTTTATTAAGTTTTTTTTTGAATATTAAGAATAATAAGTTTTTTCATGAATATTTAAGAGTATTTAGATAAATATACAACTAAAAACATAGTAAAAGAAGCCAGCAATTTAATGAATAATTGCCAAAAATGGTCTTTTTTAAAGCATTCAAACTCAGGAAGGTCAGAAAAATTGAAATTTTTTTAAAACTTATTTTGGAATTGGCTTGCTTAACAATACAGAATGAGAAAATAAAGTGTCAAAGTTGTAGTTTTTCCTACTCCTAAAAACAGACCTGCCTAATGTCCAATTCAAGGTCAGTTAAGTATTAGGCGCGTTCTAAAAAAGGTCTGTTTAGTTGTATTTGGCATTTTTTATACCAAGATACTAAGAATCGTTCTCCTTCTAAAAAAAGGAAATAAGTGATTAATCCAAAAATCATTTAATATTTTAAGATAATTTTTATATAGGACATCTATATTTATTTTTTTGTGCGTACTTAAAGAAAAAAACTCTTAAAACTTTTGGTTTTAATAATAATTCAGAGATTGAAAAGGCACATCGAACAGGAAGAATGAAAAAGGAGTTAAAAAGAACAGAACAATAATAGTAAAATTTCTTAATTACAAAGAAAGAAACGCAGTTTTTAAAAAATTTATTAAACTAAAACTTTGAAATGAAAAAGTATATGTTAATGAAGATTTTAGTGAAAGAACCACGGAAATTAGGAAAAAAAAACTGTTTAAAAAACCAAAGGAATTAAGAGCCAAAGGTAAATTTGCTAAAGTTATTTACAACTTATTACGCGCGATTTTTAAATGAATTTTTTTGTTTCTAGTTATTTAAATTTTAAAAATGGATTCCAATTATCAAAACAATTTTGAATCGCTATCATTTAACTTTTTTCAATCTTACGACTTGGTGCTTGACACTAATTCGGATTTAAAATATTTTAGTGATCCGGATTTAAACTATTTTAGTGATGTTGGAGCTTTGCGAAACAATTGTTCCTACTTCTATAACAAAGAAATAAAAGAATTTCTTTCTCGGGGCCATTTATATTTTAATCATTTTTACATTAAAAGCCTTAAGAGAAACTTTGAAAATTTGTGTACTTTAGAGGAAACTACAAATACTTTTAGTATAATTTGCTTAACTGAAACAGTTTGAATTTGATGACGCTAAATCTAATTTAAATCTCCATCTTCCAGGTTTTAAAATGATCCCAGTCGCGCGTAAAACAAATAAACGCGGAGGTGGTGTACTTTTTTATATAACGGAAAATTTGAGGTTTTTTTATTTTTATTTTTTTTATGTTTTTTTTATTTTTTATTTCTGATGATAAAAAAGAAATTTTAACAATTGAACTTTTAACCAATAGTTCTAAAAACATACTTATAAACTGCTGTCATCGCCCACCATCTGGCCATATTGAAAGTTTTAATGCATTTTTGTGTAATGATATTTAAAAAAAAATACTTTAAAGGAAAAGAAACTAAATTATCTAATTGGTGACGTTAATTTAAATTGCTTTGAATATCACGTTAATAGAAACATTAAAAAGTTTTACGATAACTTATTCGAACATGGAGCAATTCCATTAATTAACAAACCTACTAGAATAACCTCAACTTCAGCTACTATGATGACAACATTATAACAACCGATATCTTTAATGAATCTTTTAAAAAAGGTATAATAAAAAGTGACGTTTCCGACCATTTCCCTATTTTTTTCTTTTTTAATATTGACAACAAATTAATACAACAACATAAAAAAGTCATTATCAAACGTTTTTTCACAGATGCAAATCTAGCATCGTTTAAGGATCAATTAACTTTAATAAATTGGAATCATATAAAAAGTTCATTTGAAGCCAATGAAGTATACGATACATTCTTTCAAACTTTCTATGAAATAAATGATGTAAATTTTCCAAAACATGAATTTATTATAATTAATAAAAGTTTAAAGTCACCATGGATCGATTAAGATCTTAGGAAATCCTTAAATATAAAGCAAAAAATGTATATAAAGTACTTAAAAAAACCGGAAAATAAAATTATTTATAAAAATTTTGCTAAAATGTTTGAAAGTCAAAGAAAAAAAATTAAAAAAAGATATTACTGTGATTTACTAGAAAAATATAAACATAATTCAAAACACACATGGCAAGTTATAAGTCAAATTACTAGAAATAGCAAGATTAAAGAAAATTAAATAAATATTTCATGTCTGTTGGCCTAAATTTAGCTAAAAATATTCCAAATATGATTAATCCAATAAATGATTACGTGTTTCCATTAATCTCTAGTTTAAATAAACTTGAAGTATCTTTTTCAGAATTTGAAAGTGCTTTTAAAATGCTTAAAACTAATAAAGCAGTTGGTCCTGATAATATAAATTGTAATATAGTCATAGATTCATACAATACCATAAAACATATTCTTTTTAAAGTTTTTAAATGTTCTATAAATCAAGGAATTTTCCCCAATCATTTGAAAATAGCCAAAATAACGCCTACATTTAAAGGAGGTGAACTATCAAATGTCAGTAATTATCTACCAATATCTATCCTCTCTGTTTTTTCAAAAATTTTAGAAAGAATTGTTTGTCCAAATATCTAATCATCTTGCTGTTAATAATATACTTTACATAAATCAATACGGTTTTAAAAGAAATGACTCAACTGAACATTCAATAATTCATCTTACTCATAGTATAACTGATTCATTTGAAAAGTCAGAGTTTACTTTAGGCGTCTTTATAGACTTATCTAAGGCTTTTGACACAATTGACCATGAAATACTGTTTAAAAAACTTGAACATTATTGTATCACCGGTAATGTTTAAACAAACTACTAAAAAGCTATTTAAAACATCACAAACAATTTGTCTATGCACACTAAATAACTAACGGCATTATAACAGCATTTATACACGCAGATTCTTTAATGCCATTAGCGCAATAGTCATCTTTAATGCCATTAGCACAATAGTCATGAGGTGTCATGAGATATTGTGAAGATTTATTAAAATTTAATCATTTTATTTCATAGTATCATTAAAGATTTTTAATTTTAATTTAAAATTATCCTTAGAATATGCTCATACATCTTATCTAACTAACATTTTAGTTTAATGTTATTTGTTGTGTAAAATTTAGATTCGAAATGGTACTTTTAGTAAAATTTAGATTTAAAATGGTATATTAGTAACATCAAATCAAACACACTTGACTTGCTTTTAAATAACATGTTAAGATGTTATTATAAAGTTAAGTGTCGTTGTATCATTTCAAATAAAAATCTAAAAATACATTGTAACTTTTTTCAAAATATTAAAATAAAATTATAGCACCAAAAAATTAATCACTCCTTTTTTAGTATGATAATTTGAATTCAAATATCATATCAATAATTCAAATATCATACTAAAAAAAAGAAAATTGTTAATGATGTTAGCTATGTTTATTTTATGTTTTAGTTCGTAAAACCTTTAGTTTGCCCATGATTGAAGAAGTCAAGTAGAATAACTGTAAAGTAAATGCTAGTAGTTTTGCTGCTCTTCTCAATGAACAAAATTTGGAGTCTACTATTCAAGCTCCACAACTTGTTGATATTTCTAACTTTCAACAAGTTAGTTTTTTATCTGAGTTAAATAAGGCTGACACTGCTCAATCATCACCGTTATGCTGATTTTCATCTATTGTAAATGATTACGTAGATTTTGTAGTACCATTGAATAAAATAAATTGAAAAACTTTGAAAACCAATGTATGGCTGAAGAATGTCATGTAAATGTTGTTCAGCCTCCAGTAAGTCAACTATCTACATCAGTTGCACAATATATGGCTGAAGAATGTTGTGTTAATGTTGTTCAGCCTCCGGTAAGACTAATATCTTCATCAACTTCTTCATCTTCATTTTAAACACACCCAAGACACCACGAAAGGTAGTAAACTATAACTGTTCTGTTTCATATTGTAAAACTTCAACTTATAGTTTTATGCTTTGTCACTTGAAACTGCATGGCAACCAAGCACCCGTTTTTTATAAAATTTGTTTTTCCAATTTTAAAAGTCTTTCAGGTTTCCTGCAGCATTTCAAAAAATGTTCCATTAACCAGATTAATATCTGTACTATTGAAAATGAAGTACTATTGAAAATGAAGTTAAAAACAATGTTGTGAATCAAATTGGTAACACAAAATTTATTGAAGATTATTTAGGAGCTTTGACATAACATTTACAAGGAAAGCACAGATGTGCTCAAAATGTTTTAAACATAATTTTCAGTAATTTAAAGGAGATGTTTTCTGTATTAAATATTGTCATTGAGGCTTTAAAAGTGACTTGCGATAAACTGTCAACACAATATTTACGGGAAAAGTATTACAAGAATAATTTACAGACTCCAACTGCAAAAGTCTTTGGTCTGAATAAGCAAGGTTGTATAATTCCTTTCATTGAAATTTTTTCTTCCCTTTTACAATCTCAGGAAATTAATGACTTTACAGCTGTGAATGGGGACACAAACCACATGAAAATCGGAAAATGACCTTGGAATAACAAGGTAGAACATCTTCTATCTTTCTGTTAATTTTTACTCTTACTTAATGGGTAAAAGACCAGCTGGAAAATGGAATTGTAATTAAAGTTAGGGGTGTTTCCAAAATAATTACAGTTGAATTAGTATACTTCTTAGGTGACTCTCATTCTGCAAATGCAATTGGAGGTTTTAAAGAAGGTTTAAGTAAAAAGACATTGCGCTGTTGCAGAAGTTGTAACTCAACTAGACAACAAATAAAAGATTTTTCTAACCATGAAAAATGCAGTATTCGCAACGCTCCTGAACATATGATATGTTTGACTGAACTAAACTCTGGTTTAAGCAAAGCTGATAAATCAAAATGGTTTAAATACTATGGCATTGTTTCAAAAAGTATATTGTCAAACATTCTGGGATTTGATGTGACAAAACAGTTTTTATTTGATCCTATGCATGATTTGTTGGAAAGTCTCATTCTGCTTCAGTTAGAGTTGTTTTTGTCGTATGTCATTCAGAACAATTTTTTTCCTTTAAAAGAAATAAATGATTGGCTGCAAGGGTTTAGCTATGCTAATGGTATCGAAAAGCCTAATATGACCCATATCTCATTGCAGATTCGTGGTAGTTTTGGCAGTGGTCAAACTTTGACTCTTTTTCATATTATATCATTTTTTATCTTAGAGCACATGGGTCAAATCGATGTCCAATTCATTTGTTTGTCAAAACTTATTCAGGTACTTGTTCATCTTCTGTTGTTACTCTACTTTTTTTATCGGATTTAAAAGCTTTTTTTCAAGATCATCATTGCTTATTTTTGTATTTGTATCCTGATAAATTCATTCCAAAGTTACACTTCCTTATCCACTACCCTGCTCAAGCTGAAAGTTTGTGCCTCTACGTGAACATATGTGTATGGCTTATGAAAGAAAACTTCAGGTTGTGAAGAATTTTCGTCACTTCAATTTCAAGAACATTCCCTATTCAGCATGTAAATCGATGATCATTAATACCACAAGCAATGTTTTTAATGCAGCAGGGAAAAGACGTGGTGATTTATATGGACAAGTAAATGAGTTGAAGTTTAAAAAAGGATCTATTATTTCTTTTAACGTAAATAGCATAATTTACAAGATTGGTGATATTACTTCATGCTTACATGAAGAAAAGTTGATATTCTACAAAATCCTTTCAATATCATCAGAAAATGACAAACGTGCTTTTAAATGCTCTAAACTTATAATACAAGCCCACTCAGCATACTTGATATGTTGTGAATCTCCTGAACAAATTGTCATTTATCCAGATACTTTTATATTTCCTTAGTGCGTCATCCAATATTATAATTTTTCAAGTTTTGTAAATGGCAGAATCAATTTTTTTTTTTTGCAGTGCCAAGTATGAATTTTTTTGATATATGCATATGAGTTTACCTTTTAATGGGCATATTAATTTGTTAATTTTTTATAATAATTTTTTAGATTTTACAGCAGAAACATGTTTAAAAATATGAAAACATTCTTCAAATAAACGTTTATAGGAAATTCAGATTTAAATATATATATTTTACTTTTTCTTATATGTTCAGAAAAATTGAAATATCAAAATCTATTATTATACATTTGTAAAACTCTGGCAATTTATTTTACTTTTTGACTATCTTTATAAATTTTGGCAAATTTTGTCTTGTCTTTGAGATGACACAACCAGGGTCATCGAGAGCCTCTGCGCCGCCCTAGACAAATTTCCTGAATGGCACCCCATATTTCTGTCTTTTCATGTTATCAGTGAAAGACTCTTTTTTTTTTAAGTTCCCTTATTTTTTTTGCGCCCCTAGAACATCTGCCACCTGGGACAAACTGCCCCTTTGTCCCCCCCTCCTTGTTGTGTTGTGTCCAGTGCCTTGGCGGCACAACACAATAAATACATTTTGCAATAACAAATCACTAATAATGTTCTTAAAAAGAAATGAACATTTTCTAACATGATTCTTTCATACTTAAGACAATGTAAAACTTGGAACATTTGATTACATATTATATATGACAACAAGGACATTCATAAGACTAGTATGTTTTTTATGCGCTAAAGCTAACTTGATGCATAGAAAATTTTTCTACACCTAATTTTAAACAATGTCTTGATATTTATTGCTTGTAATAAGGCCTGGTTTTAAATATGCCACCATGGAACACCTTAAAGTTTAAATTTTAAAAACCATTTGAACAATTGCCCACTGGGATTTAGCTAATTATCGCACATTTTGCTATAATATTTATTATGTCAGATATTTTACTGTGTTAATTTTTTTTTTTTCAGATTTCCACAGTTCCTTTTGATTCAGATGAAGTTGCTCGCCTGAGGACTTTTTTGAGTACATCTACTTTGAACTTTTTAAACAATGTCTTGACAAATGACATTTTGAAAAAGGAGCTAAAAATAGTATTCTTCAGTATTGCCAAGTTGTTCTTCCTTCCGACAATGACCCATGGGTTCTAAGAGAGTTTTTTCTAAACTTAAGTCAACGCTTCTTTTTAATTTTCCTAACTGCTTGGAACACTGGGTAAGTATTGTTTTAAAAATTAATTAAATTTTCATGACCTTACAATACTTTTTTAAATGTGTTTATAATACACACATATTTTGTTGTGGTTGTATTGAAAATTTGTTTGTGTTTGTTTGTGTACTCTTAAGAGTACATAAATTCCTATTTCATAGTTTTAAAAAATAAATTCTCCTAGGATTCACTTCTAAGACAGGTTTCAAACATAATTAGGCAATAACATTGGACTAAAAGTCATTCGACTTCAAATGGAACAGCAATTAGACATTTCAACAGGTTTCAAAACCTAAAAAGTCTCCATATATTATGGATTCAATATCTAAAGCTGAACCAGTGCAAGAGCAGCTTCTTCTTGAAGTTGAGGTTATATTATTAGTTTATTTATTATGCTAATTTAATTTGGACAGCAATATGATTAGCGATATTTTAAATTAGTAAGTAATTGGAGTTGATATTTGACCAGGGCCAGGTTTGATAAAACATAGCCAGGGCTGCATTTATATTGATTATATTATTTTTAGGTAAAATTTATGTTGAGCTCCAAAAGACTTCAGGGAAGGAGGAGAAAGGGGCGCTTGGAGAGGACATTTGAGCTTGAAAAAGATCTATCTTCTAATACAGCTTAAGGACTCTCAGTGGCTGGTAACGGCTAGTAACCCCTGCAAATTTTGTTTGTTTAGCTTAGGTAGAGTTTGTAAAAAGCTCTGTTTTTAGCAGGGGCTTGGTCACTTACTACTTGATATATTTTACTAATTATTATATACTTTTTTTTTTCTAATTACTTTTTTTTACGATTAAAAATACATTACAAATAAAATTGTTTAATGTATAATATATATATATAATATATATATATATATATATATATATATATATATATATATATATATATATATATATATATATATATATATATATATATATATATATATATATATATATATATATATATATATATATATATATTTAAACAATTTTTAAAAAAATGTATTCTACAAAATAGAGTGCTCAATGTTCTTAAAAGAACAAAGCAATTATAAATTAGTAGAAAATCACTTAACAAAATTTTTTTCCATTTTACACTGTGTTTCATCAACAAAGACTCATCAGAAAAGATTTCTGATGAGTCTTTGTTGATGAAACACAGTGTAAAATGAAAAAAAATTTTGATTAAGTGATTTTCTACAAATTTATATATATATATATATATATATATATATATATATATATATATATATATATATATATATATATATATATGTATATATATATATATATATATATATATATATATATATATATATATATATATATATATATATATATATATATATATATATATATATATATATATATAAATATATATATATATATATATTTATATATATATATATATATATATATATATATATATATATATATATATATATATATATATATATATAAAGAAATTTTATAAAGTGTGTTATACACACCTTAGCACCATGTATCATAGCATGTTATTTTATACAATTTTATAATAAATAATTTTTAGTTGGCTAAGTAATCATGTGCACCATTGTTTGTTTTAGAATTTACAGTATTTTAATTTCTATATTTTATAGAATGAACTACTGAAATCAAAACCATCTATTAATGTTCTTGCAATTTTGAATAGAAATCTTTTTCAACTGAAAATATATGAAAAACTCCCGATTCGATTATCGCTGGCTCCCTGTTTAATAATTGCTGAGTTTAAGCGCCTTTACCAACAGAATAGTTTTATCGAAGAATCATGTACATTTTTTGTTACTAAAGCTTTTGCAGGATCTTCTAATCACCTTGAAAGTTTGTTTGTTTTACAATGTAAATTAGGTTCCAAAAAAGCATAGGATTTGTTGTTTAAAAAATCTGAAGTAAGTAAAATGAAATATTTTATGGTTTTATTCAATTCTTTTTAATGATTTCATATAATGAAGTTTTAAAAATGTCTATATTTTTTTTGCATTTATATATCTACCTAATCTAGAATTTATTTGTGTATTACTAATATTTATTGATGATGTACGTTTCAGTATAAACTTAGGATAAACACATTTATAATAAGGGATCGCCCATAAAGTATGTACACCAAAGATTTTGAAATTTGACCCTCCCCCTGTTGCCATGCATACTTTTAAGATCGCTTCCCCCATAAATAGTACGTTTGTTTTTGAAGTACACCCCCCTTCCCCTACTAAAAATTAAAAATAGTAATTGGAATTAGATTTGTTTAAAGTATGATATAAAATTAGGTCTGACATTAAATCTAAGGTGCCAAATAAATGTATCAGCTCATTTATTTATAATGTAATTTAACGTATAATCATGCTATTATCTGCACAGGTGGATCCATAGGGTGGGAGCGATGGGGCGATCACCCTCCATTGTTAGTTAAGCTGCCTAGATAAAATTTCAATTTTAATATTATGTTGTGCAAATTTTAAACTGTGTTATTGCTAGGTTACAAATCATTACACCTGAAAATCGCCCTCCCCCCTCATTACTAGATGGTCCAGATTCACCATATAATAAGAAATTAAATTTGTTCTCCCCCCTTGTACTACATATTTTGGATCTGCCCTTGATTATATACAGCTGTTATACATTAAATAGCTATGTAAATTATACAGCTATTATATGTAATATTAGCGCAATATTATATACAGCTAGTCCTGTACAATTCAAGAGTGATTAGCCTAAACAGGAGCGCAGAAAGATCCAGTAAATCATTAAAAATTTATTCTATAAATTTTTAATGAATTTTTATTATGGAATAGGTTTTACAGATTTTAATCTGGTACAACGATATCTTTTAAACAGGGATTAGAACTCCAAAGGGGTTCCGAACCTGGAACCCCTTAGAACCCCAAAATTGAGGGGTTCTAGAACCCGGAACCCTGAAAGGCTTCCAGAACCCTAGTTTCAGAACCCCAGCTTATAGGGTTCTAGAACCCCAATGTTTTTAGAACCCCATTTTGCAAAAGGGGTTCCAAAACCAGTTCTCTGGAACCCCTTACAGTCAGAGTTTCAGAACCCTAGGATTCTAAAACCCCAAATTTAGGTCGGAGTTCTAATCCCTGCTTTAAAACTATTTGGAAAAAACTTGAATTAAATTAAATTTCCGGTAATTTTTATAGTTAAAATTTGATTTCCTCAAGTCTGATGATCTGGTCGATGAGTTGAAGATACCTGCAAAGTACGGTCAACAAGTTCTTTTCAACTCAACACAATATGGCATTCACAGTAGATGAGGATGCAAAATGATTAGCACAGATTTACAGACAAGTAAAGAAGTTTTATGCGTTATTGTTAGCATTTACTATTTGTTAGATCTATCATATCCATCTTTATTTTCACAACTGATGGGCCTTTTCCAGGAGAGTTTGCTAAATGAAAGCTTTTAAAAAAATCAAAGAAGACTTTCTCTTATAATAAACAGTTAACTTAGTTTTTTGAATGCGATTACTAGTTATTAACTTTATTATTTTATAAATTGTTTTACTTGATATTTTTAGTTTAAGTGTTACTTATTGTTGTTACTTATAATTTTATATTTAAGTTATTATATTTTATAAAAAAAAGTTGGGAAATAAAGCTTTCTTTGAAATAATAAAAATAATAAACTGATTTTGTAAAGTTTTAATAATTTTTTTTTGACATATATTTAAAAATATAAAAACTAAATCCTTGGTTTAAGTAGTTACATAAATTACCAGATTTATTAGTAGATCATTGATATGAAAGGGTTTATGGTGTTTTTATTTACAATTATGTTAAAATGAGTTTATTTCGTCATTGTATATGTTAAAAATATTTTATAGTATGTATTTTATGCCTTACTAGTAATAATAGCATTGAAAGATTGTGAAATACATCAGATAATTGGTATTAATTATATAATGTAGTGTATAAATGATTTAGGTTTAACTTGAGTAAAAACAAAACATGTAAAAATATATATATATATATATATATATATTTTTTTTTACATGTTTTGTTTTTAATCAAGTAAAACCTAAATCAGTGTATAAATCATTTAGGTTTTACTTAAATAAAACCAAAACATGTAAAAAAAAATACATATATATATATATATATATATATATATATATATATATATATATATATATATATATATATATATATATATATATATATATATATATATATATATATATACATATACATATATATAAACAAGTATATAACACCAAATATAACACCATTGGATAACGATATAACAATATTTTGCTGTTATTTAAATTTAAATAGCAGCATTTCGCTGTTATTTTTGCTGTTATTTAAATAAATAAAACAGCATTTTTGAAAAAAAATAACAGCATAATAACACCATAATGACACAAAATAACGCTATTTATGCTGTTATATCGTATCCCAATGCTGTTATATTTTGTTAAATATAACAGCATAATTTCTTAGTGTTTGTTTATTAACTCAACTATATTACTCTTTTATATACTGTCATATTAATTATAAAACTAAAAAAATGTAATTTTCTCAATTGAAAATATATTTATAAACTTTTAATTATACCCAGTTTTGTCATCACTTATTTATATTTTACTTTTATACAATATTGATTTAAAGTTTATGTGAGAAACTATATTTAAACATCATTATTTGAATTTTGTTAAAAGTTGCACTGACATTATTTGTACAGTAGTCATTTATTATTTACTTGTTTACTTTAATTTTTTATATTAATTCGTAATATTAGTAAATAATTTGTAATACGAACAAACGTTTTAAATAATCTGAGGTTCTTTATACAATTCACACCTCTAAACACGAGTTGAAGTATCTTACTACAGTGGCAGCCAGAATATTTTTTACTTATAAAAAGTCAATTGGTTGCATAAACTTTGTATCAAATGAAAAACTGGCTACCTTTGTAGTAACATGATTCAATCCATTATTTTTGAAATAAATAAGTAAAATCTATTTATTTCAAAAGCAAAAGGGTTTTTTGATTTTTCTTGATTTTTAAAAAATTTAGTTGAAAATATTGAAAGTATAATGCAGAAGTTTGATTTTTATCATAAGCTATTCAATAGTTTATCAAAAACACGTGCTTTTTTAACCCTGAAATTCCCTCTACAAACCTGTAGTTGTGATTTTTTTTTTTTTTTTTCCATTATTCTTTTTATTTGTTTTTTTTTTTTCAATAAATATAACAATAAAATATTAAAATGATACAATAAGAGATAAGTGAAAAGTAATACAAATATACAAGTATTTTAGTAAAATGAATTAAATAAAGAAACGCGGAGAACTGTAAAAGACATGTTACATCTATGTCTATTATGTCCTGGTATTTCTGCTTTAAAGGAATTCTTAACATTAAAATTCGACAACAGTGATGAAGAAATAACAATTAACCAATGGCAAGGTACAGATAAAACTACACTGATCAATCAAGAAATCAATATTGAAGATGTTATTGACCTTATATGTAATTAAATAGATAAACTAACACTTGATTTACTTATAGCTAAAAGTCAGGTCAAGTACCTTAAATACTGTAAAATTAAAAATGAGTGCATAATATTGGGTTTCCAGAAAACTTTCGGCTTATTGTTCATGATAAGGTGCAAAGTTACTGCTGGAATAAAAACAAAAATGTACGCTTCATCTTATTATTATATACTATAAATCAAATAGTAAACTGATATAAAAGTCATTTTGCTTTCTTTCTGATGGCGTTGAGCAAGATGTATACTTTTTATATAAAATACAAAATACTAAGAATAATAAAAATAATTAAAATACT